AGCACTTGATCCTGGATTATGGGCTGTAAAAATGTGTTTAATTGGGGGGAAGTGGGGCACAATGTACTTTTTTTTATTCCCTGAGAAGGGAGCCAAATCAGTTTGGGAACCTGCTATATTGCCTTCACCCCTCACCCAAGTTAACAACACTTGTCTACCTTTTAGACTGGGATGGCCCCACCTTCCCTGCCCCTCCCATTTCTGGTAACCACTGCAGAATGTTTCCTTGAAGGTGAAACCCCTTTCTTGACTTTTTTAAACAGTGGGCTCATCATACCAGAATTGTCCTAATCTCACACCACATAACATCTCCCAGGTTCACTCATGTTGTGAGGTGAACAATTCCATTAGCCCTTTTTCTTTACTTCCATTAAAAAAATCATTTTATTGGGGGCTCGTACAACTCTTATCACAATCCATACATCCGTCCATTGTGTCGAGCACATTTGTACATTTGTTGTTCCCATCATTCTCAAAACAATTGCTTTCTACTTGAGCCCTTGGTATCAGCTCATTTTTCCCCTCCCTCCTCCCTCATGAACCCTTGATAATTTAAAAATTAATATTATTCTGTCATATCTTACACTGTCTGACATCTCCCTTTACCCATATATGTAGATCTTTGTAATCCGTTCCCCTCTTCTGCCCCACCTTCCCTCCACTCTCCCAGAAGCGCCACTCTCAGCACTGGTCCTGAAGGGATCACCTGTGCTGGATTCCCTGTGTTTCCGGTTCCTATCTGTACCAGTGTATATCCTCTGGTCTAGCTGGATTTGTAAGGTAGAAATGAAATCATGATAGTGAGGGGTGGGGGAGGTGGAACCATTTAAGAACTAGAAGAAAGTTATATGTTTCATCATTGCTACACTGCACCCTGACTGGCTCGTCTCCTTCCCGCGACCTTTCTGTAAAGGGATGTCCAGTTGCCTACAGATGGACTGTGGGTCCCCACTCAGCACTCCCCCTCACTTACAATTATTTGATATTTTGTTCTTTGATGCCTGATACTTGATCCCTTCGACACTTCGTGATCAATCACACAAGCTGGTGTGCTTCTTCCACATGGGCTTTGTTGCTTCTGAGCTAGATGGCCACTTGTTTACCTTCAATCCTGTAAGACCCCAGACGCTATATCTTTTGATAGCCGGGCACCATCAGCTTTCTTCACCACATTTGCTTTATCTTTAGTGATTGTGTCGGGAAGGTGAGCATCATGGAATGCCAGTTTAATAGAACAAAAGTGTTCTTGCATTGAAGGAGTACTTGAGTGGAGGCCCAATGTCCATCTGTTACCTTTATACTAGACCTATAAATATGTGCACATAGATTTAATTCCCTGACATCATATATAAATATATTTACATATGTACATGACTGTATTTAGACCACTATAAATGCCCTTTGCCTCCCAGTTCTTTCCTCTATTTCCTTTTACTTTCCTCTTGTCCCACTATCATGTTCAGCCTTCATTTGGTTTCATTAATTCCTCTCGGCTATATTACCCTTGATCAAGCCCTATCAGGCCTCTTATACCCTCCTCGCCACCGATTTTGGATCACTTGTTGTTCACTTGTCCCTGAGTTTGTTAACACCACTTCCTTTTCCCCACCTCCCCCTCTCCCATGTCCCCCTGGAGCCATTGGTCCTGTTGTTGTTTTTTTGTTTTTTTTAATATTTTATTTATTTTTTTTAATTTATTTTTTATTTTTTAACATTTTATTAGGGGCTCATACAACTGTTATCCCAATCCATACACACATCAATTGTGTAAAGTGCATTTGTACATTCTCAAAATATTTTCTCTCCATTTAAACCCCCGACATTAGGTCCTCATTTTTCCCCTCCCTCCCCGCTCCCCCCTCCCGCATGAGCCCTTGATAGTTTATAAATGGGTATTTTGTCATATCTTGCCCTGTCCGACGTCTCCCTTCACCCACTTTTCGGTTGTCTGTCCCCCAGGGAGGAGGTCACACACAGTTCCATGTAATCGGTTCCCTCTTTCCTACCCACTCTCCCTTTACCCTCCCTGTTTTGCCACTCACACCACTGGTCCTGTAGGGCTCATCCGCCCTGGATTCCCTGTATTTCCAGTTCCTATCTGTACCAGTGTACCCTAGCCAGACTTGCAAGGAAGAATTCGAGTCATGGTAGTGGGAGCGGGGAGGAAACATTTAGGAACTAGAGGAAGGTTGTATTTCTCATCATTGTTACATCACACCCTGACTGGCTCGTCTCCTCCCCGAGACCCCTCTGCAAGGGGATCTCCAGTGGCCCCGTTGTTTTCTCCTCCAGATTTCAATTCCATTTTCTTGTGAACTTTTCGAAGCCCCCGAGTCCATAAAGATCTTTCAAACCGAAATGTAACAGCACCAATTTTTAAACGGGCATATGAATTGAAGACACTTTACCACGCTTGCACCCTTATCTTTCCAGACCAGAGTAAAGGCCTTGAATTTCCTTCACTCTTCAAGGCACTGGTGCATATTTCTGATAAGGGGGCCCTAGCTCCTGTGTTCTTATCTCTCAAGCGGTTTGGGTGAGAGCTCAAAGTTCAGCTTCTACAGGTCCAGGCTTCCTCACTGCTTGTTAAGAACAAGTCAAGGCCACTGTGACAAAACACAGCTCTGAGTCACCTGCATACCAGCAGCCATGGTCAGTGTTTCCTGTTACACTGATTAAATTAAGTCTGTCCAGGTACTAGCTCCCAAAAGTCTTTCTTGGCTCAAGACAGATCATATACAATGTCCATGTAAGAGATTTAAAAACAAGCAGATAAAGGAAGAAGCAGGAAAATGTGAGAATCAAGAGAACAGAAAGGCAAATGCTTTACTATCCCATATACCATAATCAGGAAGTTCAAGAATCTAGAAGAAACAATTAACATGGCAGACGATGAGCTGGGGGTGTGCAGTCAAGGTAAGAAAACCACAAAAAATCTTCACAGTGGAAAAGTTCTCAAATATAGAAGTATGTAAACTAAAAAGTGAAAGGCCCCTTTCCACTCGCACCTGTTTCCAGGGTCACTCCACTCTCCAGCGATCTCCACTATGAATGGCTTGTCCTAGCTCCTTGCAGAACTACCCATTTACAAGCGTAATGATGGGAAAATATATGTTCACATTTATTGAGTAATTAGGATGTGTTGGATGCTGAGCTAAGCATTTTTAAGGCAAGTTCTCAATTCATAAAACAAATTCCCTATTAATATAGCAAGCATTTTCAACAGTTTTAAGTAAACGGAATAAATTGAGGCTGCACACTATTAATTGCTAGGAACCCTGGTGGGTTCTTGTGTTACACAATGGGCTGCTAACCACAAGATCAGCGGTTTGAAACCACCACCTACTCTGCAGAAGGAAGATGAGGCTTTCTACTCCAATAAAGATGCGCAGTCTCAGAAACCTTCAAGGGCAGTGCTGTCCTGGCCCACAAGGTTGCCATGAGTCCGAACTGACTCAACGGCCGTGAGGATGAGTGAATATTCATGAGTAGACTCAATATTCATGAGTAGACTCAATAGTAATGAGCTCTGGGACAGTGGATGGGCATTGATTTTAGTCCCCATTTCACAAAAATGGCGTGACAATTACTAAAGAGTCAAACCAGGATTTAAACACAGGCACTCTGACTTCATAGCTCATTCTCTTCCTTGTGTTTGAAGCGCATAATGTCATCAGCCTCTTTCCATAGCTACCCTCCAAGGCTTTCTCCATTGCTATCACACTCAGAATGCTCTTAAAAAATCAATGTATTTGATTCATTTAACCATTCTCCTACTGCTAAGCCTTTAGGCTGGGGAAGTGTTTCATTGCCTTCTTTCGTGCGATCTCAAATTCCATTCACCTTAAGATGCACCCAATTTCAGAGACGTGAAAATGTGTGCACGGGGTGTGTGTGTGGGTGTGGAGTGACGTGACAAATGAATTGGTGTTTGCATATCATTTTCAAAGATGTTTTCTGTAGCTGTTTCCTAAAAGTAAAATGGTGAGTCAAAAGCAAGGTGAATTTTGTTTGGGTAGCTACTGCCAAATTCCCCTCCAGGGAACCCTATCTTAGTCATTTGTGCCATTTCCTACGCACAGTGTCTGCTACCGCGTAAGTACTAAAGAAATGTCTGCTCAATGGAACAACAAACGGAAAGTTGTTTGTTGTTGGGTTTTTTTTTTGACAACCCCTAAGCCATCAAAGCAAGCCTGCGAACTTTCCAGAGATCCAGAAAACCATTTTTTAAAACACCTGCAAGACTACCACTGACAGAAACCCCTGGAGTAAGTTTTAATATGCAGGCTCCACTGCAAACCTGCTGAATCATAGGCGCTGTGGTGGTTACGCGCTGAGCTGCTAACAGGGTCAGCAGTTTGAAACCCCCAGACTCTCCAAAGGAGAAAAATGAGGCTTTCACACACACACACAAAGGTACGACCTTGGAAACTCAACAGGGCAGTTCTTCCCTGTCCTATGGGGTTGCTAAGAGTCGGCATCCACTCCATGGCAAGGTTTGGTTTGGGGGGCCTAGGTGCCCTACCACAACGTTTTCAGTCTGGGAAACACTACGGGGCCCTTCTCCTCTGACCTACAGGATTACCAAGTGTGGAAATCGGTATTGCACCCCGGGTGATTCTAATGTCCACGAAAGCTTACAAGAACCTCCTCAGAAGAGCGGTGCGTTCCACAGTTAGCTTCAACAGCAGTGCGGACTAGCAGCAGGAAAGACTGCCGAGGACCACTCACCCCAGCGCGCCGAGAGCGGCCCGACCGCTGGTGCGCCCCCTGTCGGCCGTCAACAGCGCCGTCCTGAGCTGGGACCTGCGCGGTCGACTGCGACTGCGACTGCGCGCTCCGGACGCCTTCGCCCGATCGTCCCGCCCCGGAAGCGGAAGTGAGGTGCGGTTCGCTCCGCGGATCCTCGGCCCTCCTCCACCCCCCGCCCCCTGATCCGCGCAGGCGCCGGAAGCGGAAGTTGTTAGGGGTGGGGAGTTGTTAGGAAGTGTTGGGTTCGCTTCGCGCTTCTCGGGTTCGCGCCGCCCTCTGCTGGAGCAGGTAAAGCACCCGTGAGCTTCACCAGCCTGGCTGCCCAGATTCTCGCCTGCTTCCGGCCCCGGCCCCTGGCTAGAGGGGGGCGATACAGCGAGGCTCTGAACCCCCCTTCCCAAGGGTTCTTGTGACACTCCGGCTTCGGGAGTCCCCATTCTTTGAGGTGAGGCCCCGCCTGGCTTCCTCAGCGTCCCTGCAGATCCCGCCATGGGCAACACGAGCAGCGAGCGCGCCGCGTTGGAGCGGCAGGGTGGCCATAAGACGCCCCGGAGGGACAGCTCGGGGGGCGCCAAGGACGGAGACAGGCCCAAGATCCTGATGGACAGCCCCGAGGACGCCGACCTCTTCCACTCCGAGGAAATCAAGGTGCTGGGCGGGGGTGTGTGTGTGGGTACGGGACACAGTTCTGTTTCCCCTTGAGAGAGGGACGACCCTCTGCAGTGGATTCTCCCACCCTCCCCTCTAAAACTCTCCAACACTTGTCACCTTATCACTTCGAAGTCCAGCAGCCCCATTGGCAGCCCTAGAGCCTGTGTCTAATTACTGATCGGAGAAAGTTACCCCAGGGAGGAGGAACTCACTTCCCTTAACTTCATTAAGGAGAAAGCAGCTCTGGGACAGGGTTTCCCATGCTTAATTAAGAGAGGTGGAGGTGACCGTAATTGAGTCCCAGCCCTTGCTTTTTTTCCCTCTTCGGCATAATTAATTTTCACTGCTGTGAGAAATAGGCCCCTCCTCTTGCCACACGCTGTTGCTTTTGTAAAAACTAGTGTGGCATTTTGGAGGCCCCCTCACCCCTCACTGCCGTTTGCTTTCTTCGCGGAACATTTTGTTCATCCTCGGGATTGAGAACAAGCACAGGACAGGGGCTGGAATCGTGGAGGTCAGTGGGTGAGTGAAGTGACAGCCAGTGCTCAGCTGCCCTCCCCTGTTGTGTAAATAAGACTGAAGAGATCAAACAAACCAGAGTAAACCGTTCTGTGCAGGCCTGAACTGGACTCCCTGTTGCAGCTGGCGTTAATTCATCAAGAACTCATGATCCAGCTAACCACCGAGTTTGTCTGTGCTTCTAGCCACAGGGCTCTGCCCTAGGACACCTAGTGATGCTGGCAGCAGATGAGTGTATTGTCTAGCCTTAAAACCACAAAAACGTATTACCTGGAGATGTCCTCCAAGGACAATGCAGCCTAGTAGATTGAAAACCAAACTCAGCTGCCATCAAGTCAATTCTGACTGACAGTGACCGTAGAGGACAGGGTAGAACTGCCCCTGTGGGTTTCCAAGAATAGCTTTTTTTACAGTAGGAGAAAGTCTCATCTTTCTCCCAAGGAGCGGCTAGTGGTTTCAATTGGCTGATCTTGCAGTTAGCAGCCCAACACATAAAGGCACCAGGGGGCAAAAATGACCCACCCATCCTGCTTGGTAGCCATCTGCAAATGGTCCCTCACTGCCCTCTAGGCTAATGGCCCAGCAGCTCATTTCATGTTTTCTTCCACCCCAAGCTGGATGGCCTCGTGGCTGGCTTTAGCCTGACCTCCATCCTCTGATCTGAACCTGCCTTCTGAATGGGTTGCCTTCCTGAAAAACTGTGTGCCAGGGGAACTTTGGAATCATAGGTCACCTGTAACTAGACATCTCTTCCCACAAAAAGAATTTTGGCTCCTGAAAAGGCCTACTTTTTTTTTTTTAAGACACCACACAAATCCTTGGTATGCGTGGGTTTGCATTTGGAGCAAACCCATTCTCACCCTGTGGACTTCACGGAGTGGCCCAGGCCAGAGCAGACTGTAACCTGAACCTTGCCCATAGGCCAGGGGCACTGAACTCAGTTGTGCAGTGGGACAGCGGAGTGGTGGGGGAATCAAACTAAAGATCGATGTGTCCTGCTGCTGTCCCAGGATGCCTGCTCTTTCGGCTTCCAACTAGGAAAAAATGGGAGTGATCCCAAACCACATCTGTTTCTTCCCCAACCAAGTGGGGTGTGTTCTTTTCTCTCGGAGTCCGGAATATCGCGACTGTTTGGCACCGATCACACTATAAGTTAATGCTTGGGATGACTTTGAGGGGTCAGCCTTAGTCGTATTCATCGTTTCTCTCAACTTGGAGTACTTGCTGAATGTTTGTTCAGGGTTTTTTCCTCCTCTTCCCCAGAATTCTTGCCTATTTCACGTTGACAGCTCTGGAATTGCCCCTAACTAGTGTCCAAGACCTTTATAAATAAGGGAACAGTGACTTTTACACCGCTGGTCCAGGACTCATGAGAGACTTCTTCCAGTTACTCTGCAGAGCATATTCCATGAGCTAACTGCCCGATTCTTCATAACTTTCAGGAATTATCGGTTTTCTTGTGCCCAGTGTGCAGGCAGGAAACAGACATAGGTAGGAGGTTAGGGAGCCTGGAGACGGAGCTAGGAGCCAACAGCTGTGTCTGTCAAATGAAATCTCACCACTTAGGGTCACTACCTGTCTCTAGTTGGCTTCCCGTCTCTTAAGTATACCGCTCTTCTTCTAGGCTCCAGAGAAGGAGGAATTTCTGGCCTGGCAGCATGACCTGGAAGTGAATGACGCAGCCCCTGCCCAGGCCCGGCCGACTGTGTTCCGGTGGACAGGGGGTGGAAAGGAAGTTTACTTGTCTGGGTCCTTCAACAACTGGAGTAAACTTCCCCTCACGAGAAGGTAATGCCCTGGGAGGGTTCGGGATGTGGTCTAACCCTCGGCAGCTTCCGGAAGTTCTCAGCTGGTGACTAGGAAGGGAAATGCGTCTTGGTTAATCATTCCCAGGGTTCACATCTCAGAGAACACGTCTCTTGTCGAGTGTTGTTTCCTGGACATCCTTCACGTCACATCCTCAGCCAGTGAAGGGGACCTCAGAAAGCCGATGGAGAGAGTCCCATTGCCTTCACTCCACTCACTTTCCAAAGACCCCTTGTATGTTTGCTCAAGTGGGACTTCTTCAGAAAGAGAGCTGGCTTTTCCCAGGGCAGTAGAGGGAGCTCTGGGCTTGGGGTCTTCAGCGACCTGGGCTGGAGGCCATGTTGGCCAAGCGAACCTGTCCAAGGCCCTGGACATCTACAAGAGACTGTCGGACCATCCCTGAGGCCTCTCTTGCTTTGACCCTGTCTATTGGTTTGGTTTGCCAGGGACAGGATACGGGGGCGTCCTCAGCGGGGGTGGAGTACCACTCTCTCAGAGGCCCGAGCTTGGACTGTGTGCCTCATTGTCACTGGTGGAGGAATCGGATCCTGCCAGCCAGGTCTGACTTGTTAGCTGGCAGCCTGCGTTTTCAAGCAGAAACACTGGCAGAAGGGCAGAGTTGCTGGTCATTCCGGTCAGAGTAGCCGGGTGTTGGTGAGGTCCTCCTGCAAGTGTACAGACAAGAGCTGCTAGTTCTCTTCAGTGGATCCCCTCTCCTGCCCAAGGCTCAGTGACAGAGTGACCAGGGCAGCAAGCATGTTTATCTTGTATTGTCATTTCCCTGGACTGCAGTGTGAGCTTGACCTTGCAGCGTCAGGGGCGTGGATTCCTGGCACCGGAGCAAAGGGCACTGCCGGAAAGCCTCGCCTGGCTAGTTCCCCTAGCCCACACTGCTAGATGTCCATCACTGGCTTTTGCCGTCTGCAGGCGGTGCAGTGTTTGTTCTGCCCCATTGGCTTTCCTGGCAGCTCCTTGTTTGCGTCCTCACCGGTTTTGCCAGCCAGCTCAGGGCAGCCGCCCCCCCTCCATCCCCAGTTGAAGGCCTCTGTGTCCTTTGTCCTCACAGCCACAACAACTTTGTTGCCATCCTGGATCTGCCCGAAGGGGAGCATCAGTACAAGTTCTTTGTGGATGGCCAGTGGACACACGACCCTTCCGAGGTACTCTCCCCACCTCGCCCCCTACCCCTTTGCCCTGCAAGTTGGGGTGCCTGAGTGTGGCTAGACTGGGGGGAAGGGGGAGGGGCAGGCCTATCTGGCACTTGACAGAGATGACCAGGGTGGCTAGCGGCTGAGTGAGTATTTGGTCCGGCTGGGAGTCCAACCCAGGACAGGGTCACTCCAGAGAGCTTCCCTGACAGGGTTTCTTTCTTCCCAGCCAATCATCACCAGCCAGCTTGGCACAGTTAACAACATCATTCAAGTGAAGAAAACGGACTTTGAAGTGTTTGATGCGCTAATGGTGGATTCCCAGAAGTGCTCCGACATGTCTGGTATGAGCCCCCTTTCCCTCCCCCTGGGGGTACACAGCAGCTGGGCCCCCCACAGATGCACTGGCCTCTTGCTGCTTGCTCTCACCCTAAAGTGGCCCTGGGAGGCCCACATTTGTCGCTGCCTGAAAAGCTGCAAAACGAATTCCCACCACTGTCAGGTCTGCTTGTTGCCCCAAAGGTGTGCTCTAGGTCCCCTCCGTGACCCCGGAGCTCAGCTTGGCCCTAGAAAGTAGGTGGTGGGACCAGGCCCAGGTGTAACCTCAGACTGCGAGGCCCCAGGAACCCTGTTGGGTCAGAGTGGATGGGCCAGCCCTGTGAGGCCTGCCAACTCACTCCCTGCCAGGCCAGCGGTCAGCAGACACTGGTGGCCCTGGCGGTGGCAGTGTCTGCATTAGCGCCTTGTGAGAGGCACCCCACAAGAAATGCTCCGCAGCACACAGCTCTCCCTCCCAACAGCCTGCCCATTCAGCTAGTCTGCCTTCAACTTTCTCCCTCTCCCAGAGTCCACTAAGTTGCTTGGCATCCAAACACCACGGGAATGAACTACCTGAAAGCAGATACTTACGGGGGAATGGCCACATGCACCCTTGTCAGGCTTCAGCTGTTCCTAGAAACCAGGGGGACGGTTTCCCGGGGTCTTTCTGCTGCTCCATTTCCTCATCACCTGGCCAGGGTTAGAGGCGTGGCCATCGGGATCCCCATTCTTATCAATGTGGAAATGGCTGTGGTGAGTGGTCTGCCCCAGGCTTGGCGCGGCTGGTGGGTCAGGCAGTTGAGAAACAGGAAGGAGGCTTTCTCCTATTTGACTCTGGGAGAAGTCCTTTCACTTTTAGATCACAGGGAAAATGAATGGGGAAAACGCCCCTTCTTTGCTAATAGATGTCATGTAAGGCCAGGCACCAAAGCTTTTAGTTGAGAGTCTGCCCTCCAGATCAAGGGGTGACAAACTCGCTTCAGGCTGTACCAACACCTCACGTTTAGACACCTCCTCTTCTTATCGCAGAGGTGACTCGTAGTGGCTCCAGTTTTCCGCACTTAGTGCTTTCCTGAGATGTGGCTGGTTAAGCTCCACACAATGCGTCGAGGGGACTGCCAGCGCCCAGTCACCACACTGCTCAGGGCAGCCAGGACTCAGACGGCCAGGCCCATCCCGATGGTTTCTGGGTAACAGCCCAGTGTCTTCCCGTTGCCACACATCACCCGTGAGCTCTTTCTAACCTGGTGGATCAGCAGCGTTAGGAGCTCCTAGGAAGCCCTGCTGGCAGTTGGTCGAGTGTGGGTGGCGAACCAAAAGGCCGGTAGTTTGAACCCCCCAACTGATCCTAGGGATGGAGGAGGCCGTCGCTTAGACACACTGAGGGGCAACGCCGCTCTGACCCACGGGTTACTGTGAGTCAGAGTCCACCCGGGGGTCGTGATTCTGTTTTCTGAAGGAGCAACAGTTGTGTAGTAGTTCATCACTTGGTTGCTAACCCAAAGCTGGCAGTTCAAGCCCACCGGCTGCCCCACAGGAGAAAGACGTGGCTGTTTGCTTCCATGATGATTTAAAGCAGTGGTTCTCCACCTTCCTAACACCGTGACCCTTTCATATAGTACCTCACGTGGTGGTGACCCCCCAACCATAAGATTATTTTCATTGCTACTTCATCACTGTCATTTCCCTACTATTATGGAGCAACCCTTTTGAAGGGGTTGTTTGAACCCCCAAAGGGGTCATGACCCACAGGTTGAGAACTGCTTATTTAAAACCTTGGGAACCACCCCCACCCCCACCCCCAGGGCAGCTGTGCTGAGTCGGAGCCACTCAGACCGTAGTGGGTGGGGCATGGTCTGTCTGTGTCACTGAGGGACTGGGAGTCTTATGAGCTAGGATGCCGTGGCTTCTAAGAGTCCTCAGAAATGGGCTTTCAGGACGTGCCAGCACCTGGGAGAACCTGTTTTCTCCCTGGCCTGAGACGTACAGGCTGTTCTGTCCTCTGTGCTGTTGTGACTGACAGCTCCAATTCGGGCATTCTCCCACAATATACACTGGAAGTCTCC